AGGCGCTGAGGGTGTTCTTGTGAAACTTGAGCAAGTCTGTCAAGGCGTCCCACTTGCTGCTGAGCTTATGGCGTATGGTTGTCAAAGGTTAACGGATGCATTTTCTGGACCCGTTGAGATGACAACCCTGTTTTTCACCTTTGCCTTCTGGTGTGTCCTCCTTGCTGAATTGGACTTGTTAGTACTTGTGGTATTTTAAATGTTTTCTTAAGTGGTATTACATGCTTATTATAATGTATTTCGTCATCTCAGTTGTTCTAGCCTCTAAAATCACTCAGGTAGCCTCCCCTGGTTTTTTCTGTTGTTTGTTTTCATCCTCACCCGAGGACATGCTTATGGTTTTAGAGAGGGGGTGGACGGGAAAGAGGGAGAGAGAAACTTCTTATCAGCGCCTCTCTCGTTCATCCTGACCAGGGACCACACCCACAACCTAGGCATATGCCCTGACTGGGAATCGAACCCATAACCTTTCTAAGTTCATTCTGGCCATTTTTTAGCAGCTTAAAATTTTTCAAGGCTAATTCCTGTATTTTTTTATGTTTCTTTTTGAAAAATATATCTTAAGGCCATAAGCTTACTCTTAGTTGCTTCTTACTCTGTATCCCTTAAATTGCCTTTCAGTGCTTGGTCCTTTTTGATTCCGCTGGGCTGGATCTGACTTAGTAACACTGACGTATTTACCAGCACGACACAAAGAGCTGGGCGCGTCAGAGTCTGAAGGGGAGAGTACTGTGCTGGCTGCATTAGAGGGAGGGAAGACAGTCACTGGGGCCCATGGGCCTGGTATACAGGAAACGTATCAACATCGCTTGTCTTTTCAGAGCAAAATCTGGAGCGGCAGGTGCTGCAGACGCAGTGCAGACGGCTGGAAGCCCAGCACCACAGCCTCAGTCTCACAGCAGAGCAGCTCTCCCACAGCATGGCGGTGAGTCTTGGGGACGCCACACGCAGGAAAAGGAATGGAACTCAGCTCCTGGTGGGGTTTTCTGAAGATACACTTCTGCTTTTTTTGGTTTAACCTTTCATGTTTAGATTGAAGGGCACCCATTACCATACAGACAAGTTCTGAGGGGGAATCCTACCCTTGAATTTAAAACTTGTGAGTCTTGGGGTTGGGGGGGGCGTCTCGGGTCAGTTGGTTAACCTGGCTAAGGAGGGAGGTGCCATTAATTCGGAGAATATTGATCCTGGAATGATGCAGATGCTATTTATATGTATCCCTTGGAAGGGATTGTTCGTTGCCTTTGTCAGTCTGCCCTGACGTGATTTGCTAAGGAGGAAGATTTTACTGAAGGAATAAAGTTATTGAGGAAAACAAACCACCCTCTTCCCTTCTGTAGCCTGGCTCCATAGGTCTCCCAGGCGTGCCACGTGACACGCCCCAGGGCGTCCTCTATACAGGGATGTGGGGCTCAGATCAGGTGAAGCAGCAGCACAGGTTGTATAGCATCAGGGCTCATTTTTAAATCGCACAGTTGAAGCTGAGACAGCAGGGGACACAGGCTGTGAGAACCCAAGGCTTGGGAGGAACCAGTGCAGACTTGCCCCAGAGGCCACTGTCAGAGCACTGGGAGGGGGTTTCAGAAGGTTGCATGTTCAGCCCCGACTGGTGTAGCTCAGTCTCTTAAACCAAAAGGCGGCCAGTTCAGTGGTTCAATTCCTGGTCACACACAGGGCACGTGACTGGGTTGCAGACCAGGTCCCCGGTTCGGGGCGTGCAAAAGGGAACTGATCAATATTTCTCTCCCAGTTTCTCCCTCCCACCCCTTCTAAAAATAAAATCTTACAGTGCCAAAGGTATACTAGTCCAAGTGCCTCCAGCACATTTCTGTACCACATACATTTCCACGAAGCCGGTTTGTTTAACGTGAATTTCTCTCTGCAGGAACTGAGGAGCCAGAAACAGAAGATCGTCTCGGAAAGGGAGCGACTCCAGGCAGAACTGGATCACTTACGGAAGTGCCTTGCGTTGCCTGCAATGCATTGGCCTAGGGGTTACTTTAAGGGATATCCTAGGTGACGGTTTCCCTTGCACTAGGCCGAACCTATAGTATAGAAATATTATCTATTTTATTACCTTGAATATTTAATATTTTTCACTGGGAGGTTTGAAGCTTAAAAAAATAATAAGAATGTGCCATGCATGAAGCAAAGGATTCCAGGCTCCAGAAAAAGAACGAACTCGCCTTGACTTCAATGCAATTGAATCACCTTTGAAATTCAGCGAGCAACCAATGTAGGACAACGCCCATAGTTTACTTTTTAAAGGTGGTTTTATTCTTTCTTTCCCCAGTCACACTTTTACATCTGAAAATGAAGGCCCCCTCACCGACACTAACACTCTGTGCCGTTTGCAGCCCCTGGGTGTGTGGGATCAGATCACCACCCTGCTCTGTCTCTTGTGTTGCCCTGTTACTTTGCCTCAAGGCCCAGGTTTGCTTTCGCTGCAGCGTGGGGGGCGGTCTCTTCCTCCCCAGGGCGGAGGTCCCCTTCAGCTGAATGAAGGTGGGGTGCGTTTTAAGTAAAGGGCTTATTTGTTTCAGTTACTTTTCTGCAAAATTTTTCTTAAAAGCAACAGGTCCTAAGAGCACACGAAGCAACAGTACTAAAGCCTCACCCATAGGCTTTTCCCTGGAAAAGCCCTAACCTAAAGATAAAGCAAATCGACACACTGAAGGTACCTTTTTTATTACTCCGTGGGGAAAATGTACAGAGCTCTATGTATACATATATTCGCACCCACCAAATTGTTGCTGCAGTGGGGGTGTTTTCATACAAACAAATTTTGAGAGAAAAGTCAAAGGTGCTTCAGCCTTGTACTGTGTATATATATTAAAAAACAAAGTTTTGTATGTTTTTATTACTTTAATTATTGTTATAAAAAGCCTGCCATTTTTAATGTGGTTTGGGGGGATTTTTGTTTGTTTGTTTTCCTGTTTGGGGGTTTTGTTTGTTTTTTTGTTTTTCTGGGCAAAAAAAAACTTGCTTTTAGTGTCTGTACTGCTGCTGGTCAGGACATCAGGACATTAAATATTGAAGTGTTTTTAAAAATTAAAGAAGAAGAAAAGTAAAAGAGCTTACCACTGGCGCCTATGCGATCACTTCATTTTTGAGTTGCACCAGAAAACGACGTAGAAAGCCATGCATTACTTCTTACCTCCTCCTCTGCCCCCTCCCCCCAGCTCTGGACAGCAGATAGCAGTTACACCCCGTTGCTGTTAGTGAGGAGGGGCTGGTCTACGGTGAACAAGACAGATCCTGGGTGTGTGCCTGTGCACCCACATACAGACATGGGGCTTTTGTAAAAGAATCTTTCAGGAAGTGAGCAGTTTCTGTGATAGAATTCTAAGGTGTCTTACAGCAGTCTGAGAACAGGTGCAAAGTAGAAACTTTAGAGGCTTTATTTAGATGCAAAGCTTTGTAAAAGCCTAAAAGTAGGATAAACAATGTCTGAGCTGAACTTCTCCTCCTTTTGAGCTGACTGTGGCAAGCACAGGAGCAGATAGAATTGGGATAATCGGATCCATGCAAAGCAATGGGGAAAATTTTCCCTCTTGTCCCAGTTACTGTTCATTCAGGCAGGGTTTAATCTAGATCAAGAAAGTATCTCTTGCCTGAATGGGCTTGAACCTGAGGCCAAAGCAGCCAATGGTTGGTCTGCCTGGGGAGAGGGGAAGGGGAGGAGGAGGCCTGAGCGGGAACACGCCTCCCCTTCACCCGGGATGGGCTGACTGACCTTCACGAGGGCTACTCACTGAGATCAGTGGCCACACCCTCAGCCTTTAGCTGTGCAGAACAGCTTGCTGGCAGATGGCATTGTGTCGCTTTATCTGTTCCCACACAGTTTGCTTTGTATGTCTGCCAAGAATCTTCCAGTTATTAGCAAACTCAGACAAAAAGTGCCGCCAGTATTATCAGCAGTCAACAAGCGCCTTCCTCTCCACAGAAGCGACTTGACGAGAACTAAGGGCTGTTCTGTGGGCCTCCTCCCCTGCGAAGGCATTGAGAGATCAACATGTTCCACAGGTGGGGACAGGTGTTCAGAGGGAGCTCTAGTGCCAGCAATCAGGGCAGAATATCACTGAATTTCTCTATTTAAAAACCTGCTTGCTGTTTCTGGTCTGAATGCTTAAGGACTACATCTTAGCACTTCACTCCCAGTCCTCCTCCTCCTGCACAGAAAATGTCTGGGTACTTTTGCTGATCAGCTTTGGTAATGGCCTTGGCTAAAGGAAAAAAAACATAGACCTAATAACTTGATGGGAAAGAGAAGCACAGCCCCATCCCTTCAGCCAAGGGGAGCACCCTTGGCTGGGTCTGTTTTAAGTGTTAGGGCAGGAGGTCATGGCGTGTGGGACTAGGGGATGCACCACTGCAGGGGTGGTCTCTCCCCAGGGGAGGAAGCTGTGTGGCTGAGCGACGCACAACTGTGTTTCCTCCTTCCCGCTGGAAACACCACAGGCACCCCGCACTGGAGCTTCTGTCACTCCGCTGCACCCACCTCCCACCTGTCTCTGGAGATCTTAGAATATTCTTGGGCTCACTACGACAATCAGAGAACATAAATAGAAACCCCAAAAGGCAGCACAAATAAACTAAGAAAAAGGTAAGAAAGTGCCTTTTGAAAACAAGTGTACCACTAACACATAGTATCCAATAATGGTTTTTCCATACAATCAGTTTTATAAATTGGCAGTAGTTTCATCTGGTATCTAAGTTTCTTTGCAGTTTAGGTTTAAATATTGACACACTTGCTCTAGCTGATTTTGCAGCCTGTCAGTGTTTCATGAAGAGCTCAGTCCGTCATCACTTTGAGTGCTTCCCGCAGCACCTGGAGGAGGTGGCTGCCCTGCCCGCTGAGGGGTCGCACTAAACTCGTCAGGGGCATCTTCCAAAGCAGGACCAGTAGCTCCACTTAATCAGACATTTAGAAGCAAACCAGAGCTTTCCCCTATACTTGGTCCTACACACCTGGTCATGTAGTTAGAGCCAAACTGATGTGAGAAAACAACATGATTTAATCCATTTTTTAAGATAAGTGACCAAGACGGGATTTCCAGCAGTTTAGTCTACATATTCCAAAGGAAATACTAAATTGGCATTAACATCCTTCAAAGGAGCCCACACTTCAGAATTATAACATAGGAAGCCTTAAGTTTGTACATGAGATGGGTTTTTCTCAATGCTGCCAAATCTCAAGAAATTACATCAAGAATACTCCCTTTCCCTGAGTTGTGTTTTTTTTAAGAGTGGAAAATTCCAAGGACCCACCACAAGATGGAGATGGTCAGCACAAGCCGATTCTGTTACTCTCTTAAATAAGTGTATATTAGCCATTTAGCAGCGATCCCCATACTCTTTCAAGTAACCAAGCTGTTGACTTCCTTACTGCTTGCAGTAGCCTGTCCCCAACCTTTTGATCCAGCACTTAACTTAAACTCCTTAACTCTGCCTTGGCCTGAGGAAGACCATGCTAATCGGTTGTGTTACTGTGTATGTGCCCTGTGCTTAATCGCTAGAACAGTGAACCAGCGCACGGGAGGGAGGAGGAGCGGTGCCTCGGTCACTCTGGGGGCAGTTTAGATGCTGTGAAATTAAACCTGTTCTAAGTGTACTTGTTTGAATTAATTGTATTGTAATATTATTTGTTGAATGTAGTAATTAGGTATTTATGAATATATTGCTGTAATTTCTGACAACATCCAAAAAAATAAAATCTTCCTAAATCATGTTAAGAGGAAAATCTTTTTTATGTCATAAAATACAAGGCCAAATCTAAAAGAAAAAACAGCTCAACAGCTATATAGCTTTATAGGCAAAAATGTGAAGACAGATTCGACCAATAACTCGGGTTTTAAGAGAAAGGTATTAAGGGGCAAGATCCGAGACACACACGACTCCTGACCCTCTGCAGTAATGGGGTCTCATTCTAGAAGATTCCCCAGGTGAAATCTGAAGGACGCTGAGTTAAGAATGAGAAGAAAAGGCAATTCTGCCATCTGAGAGCAACCCAACCCTCTGAATGGTCACCTTAATGACAGAAACAAGGTCTTCCGTGCCCTAATCCCTTCATGTCTGGCCCTTCAGTGTTCAAACACCCATCAGCTGCTTGTGGAAGGGACACCTAGATGGGTAGCAATTTGGAATGGAGAAACTGCTTGAGTAACGTGGTAAGTTTGGACTTGAAACACCGAAGGGCAGATACCAGCAGGGAGTCTCCAGGCTTAGTTGATCACGCAGGCACACTCTTCAAAAAGCCCTGGAAGGAACACGCTACTTCCTTTGCAACAATGCTGCCGTTGAAAACCAGCAGGCTGCAGAACCTTCCACTCCCTGTATGACTCCAGACCAGTGATTTGCAACCCGTGCGCCACAAGAATTTTTAAAACATGCAACACCTGGCTATTCCGTCAAGGGCACTGCTTTTCCCTTTGATTGTCAAAAAAAATTATAATGGCCATCCAGTGTGAATAAAAAAAGATTACATCTATTTTTTTGTCAGATTGGCAAAACTTTTTGGTGTGCCACAGAATTTTAGTAATTAGTTTATATGGGCCATGAGATGAAAAAGGTTAAAAATCACTGCTCTAGACAAGCTTTCCCCCTCTCAAGGTAATGTAATTTCTATGCAGAATTTAGCAGTTGCAAAATGCTACAATTAAATTTTTCTCAGAGTAAAAAAACTCTTATTTGAACTTCTGCTACTTACAACAGTCTTCCCCTGAAACCCATCAAGAGCAGCGTTACAGGTCCCACTTTGCTTCCTCGCGCATCTTCACCTTCACTCACACACTCAGTAACACGGAGTCAGTTTATCCCCACTTTCCCCTTCCCTGGGTAGGCAGCCCTTTACACCTTAGCCAGAAGTAGCCATGAGAACAAGAGACCGTGTATTTGACGTTTACGATTGCCTGCTACACACCTCAGTTTGGTCTATTAGATCATTTTAGCCACATGGCTTGCTCCTTCTGCTTGGTAGTTAAGCAGGGGGGAAAACCAACAGACTGGGTTGATTGCATCTTTACTATCCAAGCTTAGATCAACACCAGTCGGCATCGCAAGCTGCTCACCTGCCATCCTACTCTGTGTGAGCAATCTCTACACTCTAAGTTCAGGGTATCAAGAAAGAAAACAAAAGTCCTAGGGCCACACAACCACCTGAGTACCTGTCTTCAAAACAACACGTGAAGTCACTGAACATGCCCCCACACAGCAGTCCCAGGCAGGAGACCTGAGACTCTGCTAGGGAGAACAGCTTGTTTGCCAAAGCTTTGTCTCCCCGCCCCTAAGAATAGCTGGCTTCTAGAGACAGATGTGGGATTCAAGACTATGTCCAGGATGACATGCAACCTGTTCCTTTCCAGCAAGGTTAGGAATCCAGTCCTTGCTTCATTACACGTTTTTCTTACATTCAAAAATGATTCTAGACATCCAGAACTATGAGTGCTTCTAGAGTGTCCTGAGTACTCACTCTCAGCAAGACCCCTGCCGGCAGAGACAAGGCCTTTATAAACAAGGTCCTTCTCTAGAAGTCCTGAGACTGGGCACCTTCAGAAGGCTGCAGGTTTGTGCGGAGTTTGTACATGTGATTGAGCGCCTGTGTGAGGAAAGCCCCGCTGGTGTTGATCTCCATCAAGGTCAAGTTATCCAGCTAAAACACAAGAGAAAATAACCTGGGTTGGTTGAGGAGTTTCTGATTTTGAGAAAAAGGTAAAATCTGAACAAAAAGAAAAAACCAATAGTAACGTTTACAAGCACAGCCAGTAACTCCTGCTTGTGATAGCCTGAGCAGGCAGAGTGCGTGCCGTGGGGAGCCCCCCAGCAGCATCGGGCCTCCCCGGGGCCCCAGGGAGGCAGCTGCCAGAGCGAAGGCCCGCGGCCCACCCACCTGGGCATGCGCCTCCTGCTGCCTCACGAAGCTGTCCGCAGACACCCGGAGTTTGGCTATGCGAGTGTCCCACACATCTTTGATCAGGGTGCGGATCTCATCTGCTTTGGGGATGTTGTCTGAAGCACTAAAGGAAGCAAAAGTGAAATACATTGCATAAGGACGCACTCTAAACTGGAGCAATACCCAGCTAGAAATGGCTTTAAAAAAAAAGAAGGTTGCTTGGGTTCAGGCAAAATACATGTGCCGTTCCAGACTCAAAATTTGTTTTGCTTTGTTTTCAGTATTAAATTGTAAGGATTTCTAGCAGTTAAGCTTGGTGCCAAGAAAATCCAGCCATGATCCACACAGATGTTTGTGCTCGTGTTACCTGTCCCCAGGCGGGCAGCCGCACGAGGACCTGTTTCCTAAAATCAGTAGGTGTCAGAGGATAAGCTTTAAGTCGGATGTCCTGTGTCTCAAGATAACTGAGTGTTCTGTGCTGTAGCATCTCCACCCAGAATGAATGTGCTTCAAGGCTGGCTCGGAGGCCATGAACTCTACTGCTCACACCCACTGGTTGTGCAGAGGCTCGCAGGCCGCCAGGAGAAAGAAGACAACAGCTCTGTGCCAGGCACTGCGCCCAGCACCGCACAGTGTTTCCATCCTCACAGACGCCCTGGAGGGCGGGTAGTGACCTATCTACAGAAACAACGAAAACATGTTTACAAAAATCACAGAAGAAACTGCAATTAGCATAATCTGAGCACACCTATACACAGTCAATTCCCGGTAAAAGTATGAACTGCAGTCAGCGGGAGATAGTCTTCCTGTGTGAGGTTTTCTCAACTAATCTTTGCAGGAAAAGAAACGAGAAGATAGAAGCAGAAGCCAACATCATTCATCACCAGGCATTCTTGGATAAGCTGAAAATGATCTCTCCACATGCGAAAGTTAGCTCATCGTTAGTAGTTGGAGAATTAGTGGTATAAAATGGAGGTAGTAGACTTGACTGAAAGCCGAAACATTTGGATCCTTTGCTCTGAACAGCAGGTTAGAGAACAAAGGGCCCCAGCTCCTTGCTAACTGAACTGCAGAACGAAAGTACAAAGGTCCCTCAGCCAAATGAACTCTGAAGAATCCCAGGACAAGGGTTTCAATAGGAACTGCACACATAATGTACCAAACTTCAAAGAAAGAGACAACAGGCCCCTCACCTCTGCTTCCAGACTCCTCTGCAAGCCACCTCTCCACTGCCACAGCAGGCTGAGGTCCGCAGACAGCAAGCACACTCCCTGAACATCTCCCGGCGCCCTCCCCCAAGAGACGAAGAGCCCTAGCTCCCCCACCCCCACACGGTCTCCAGGAGCCCCAGCAGCCCCAGGGCTGTGCTTCCCAGACCTACCATGTCCTTTCACACTCCCGCCTTCTCCCCCAGTAACATCTTCCATCAACTTTGCAGCCTGAGACCCCTTCCCTGGCGCCACTAGGCATTCCCAGCGCACTCCGAGCAGCATGTGTCGCATGTGCTACCTACCCAGTGTGACCACTGGGAACAGGGTCACACTCTCCCCCACCAAACCAGGAACTCCAGCCTATTACAACTGTTGAGTGAAACACTCAGGGGTCTGTGCACTGCCGCCTCGTATCGACTGAAGGACAAACCCATCATGCTCCTCAGATGTCCATTTGCTTCCAGAAATGCCATTTGCAGGCCCCTGGCCCTTGCTCTGCAGCAGGCACCGGAAAGCTCCCCCAGTGTCGTTCTAGTTCTGGTCTTGAATCCATCAACTAAAAGTTTTCAAAAGCTTGACATTTTGCAAATTACATTCTAAGTATGTCCAAAACAAAACTGTCAACACTTTCTCATCCCCTCCACTGGTTCCTTCCTTCCTTCGTTAATTCGCCCATTCATTCAATGAACAGGAGTGCTGGGCACTGTGCTGGTACACATAAGATGCAGTCCTTGCCCATCAGAACTGGGGGTGGGTGAAGAGTAAAGCCAGGTAAGTAATTAGAAAATTGTAACTGACAAACGCTATGGAGGGGTACAGAGATGCCAAGAGGACAGGTAAGACAGAAAGAGAGTACCTGTTACACTAAACCAAAGGAGGGAGCAGGGAACAGACGGACTCACTGGCAGAGGGCACAGTACATGCAATGCCCTGAGGAATGTGGTATGTATAAAGAAACCACTGCGAGCCTAAAACATAAGAGAATCAGAGGGAAGAACGGTAAGAGAGTTATGGGAGTTATGGGAGAAGGAAGAAGGAGACCAGCCTACGCAGGGCTTTGAGAACCGTGATCAGGACCGTAGACTGAACCATAGAGAGGCTCCAGGGGCGGGGCAGGCCCACAGCGGTCGCTATCTGCAAAGGCCGAGCTGGGCCACGTGCACAGTGGACGGCTGCTGCGGGGGAGCCAGCACTGGGTGCCGGGGGACGACCACTGCAGCACAAAGGCAGGTGTGAGTCCTCTGGCCTTTCATGCGGCAGACCTGCCAGAACCCAAGTGCACAGCCCTCCAGAATGGAGAGGGGTAAAGCTTTATTAGCGAAACATTTGCAGTTAAGAAAAGGGCTACTGCCGGGAATAATGGAGAGGTAGAAGGAAAAGAACCCAGGGGTTTACTGGGAGAAAAGGAAAAGTGAGAAAGGGGGAGCACATGCAGGTGCGTGTGCCTGTGCACGCGATGACCCCCAGGTCGCTGGTCTGAGGACACCACTCGCCTTGGTGATGAGTGTGGAACAAGAAGCGCAGGGCAGGGGCAGAGGGACGAGGATCAGGAGTCCAGTCTTACACGTGGGCTCTGAGACGCGGGGCTACTTACTGATTCAACAGGAGTTTGGTCAGCTCCATGTAGTAAGGGCTGGGCATAGGGGTAAAGGTTTCTTCCATTCGTTCATGGTCCCTAATCTTCTCCAACTTTTCTGAAATTGAGAAATGAAGACATTTTACCATTGCCATAACCAAAATAATTTTTTTAAACCTCCCAAATTTACCAAGTGCCCATATTACCTATTCGTTCAATTAACAAATACATTAAAAAACAGCTTTTGGAATATCATCTGTATTACTAACTAAATGATACAGGGCCCAGTTCCTCAAAAACTCTCTCTGAGAAGGTCTAAATTATTGTTATTGTTGCTTTGGCCTGCAGAATATATTAATAAAAAGAATGTCAGTCAGAAGTTCTTTTCGTAGTGAAAAAGCAAAGTATTCTACTTTTGATGCAAAAGTGAGGAAAGTAACCAGTGACTGGAGAAATTTACGTATACTAAGCCTTCTTCAGAAAAGCAAATCAGCTTAGAACAGCAGCCACTCCAGCTGGGGTGGGACGGGAACAAGGGGGAAAGCCCAGCACTAGAACCAAACAGCCACGTCCAGTTCCTCCAGCAGCTGCACTCCCTTCCACACGCCACAGCTGCCTCGGCTCCTCCCTGACCGACCAGCCTGAGGGAACCTCCAGTCCTCAACCTGGACTGCCCTCCGTGGCTAAGAGACACCCACAGACACAACTGTGCTGTAGGGTCTCATGTTAAAGGATGCCCACCCATCTCCAGGGGACCCCTGTACTATCCTGCAATCGTACGACATTCCCAGTCCATTCACCCTCTCACTTCTGCGGGTGCCTGCCCTCTCCTCACCTTCCTTCCTCATCTCACTGGCCCAGCCCTCAGCCGCTGCCTTGCTGATGCCCATGTGCTCCCGCCACCACGTCCTCCCGCCACCACGTCCTCCCACCCTCCCTGCATCTGTCCCCCCACATACAAGGGCCACTTCCAGGTATGCATGGGACCCTCCCCTCTCACCTGCACAGGACACCCCTCCAGCAACTGTCTCTCCACCACTGTCTCTCAGTCTTGAATAGTTATTACCCCTCACTATATGACCATTCCTTCAAACACGCTGCAACATCTTCTATCTCATAAAGAAAACCCTCCCCTGACACCAACTCTTTCTCCAGCTACCGATCCATTTCTCAGGCCTTTCACAACAAAACTTAAGAGTGGTCTGATATTGGCATTAACTTCCCCTCCTCAACCATTCAGAAGGGTGTCTATCCCACCCCTCTGCCAACACAGCTCACCCAGGGCCACCCCCTCTCCCCCTCTGCAGGCCTAACCTAAGGGCTCTGCCTCAGTCTCCACATCCGATGGGGTCAATCCTCTTCCCTGGAGCACACTTTTCATTTCGCTTCTGGAAAACCACAGTTCTCATCTCACCGATTCCTCTGGCCTTCCTGACCCCTCGACACTGGGCTGCAGGGCTCAGTTCCCTGGCCCTGTCCACCACCTAAACTCGAAGTCCCGCCTTATTTAAATACCATCTCCGTGCCTACGATGGTGTCCAAATTACATCCTCAGATCAGCACCACCCGCTGAATTCCTGACTCAAGTGCCCACTGCCCCACATCACCCCCACGTGGGTCTCTCTCAGGCACCCCCAGAGCGACACGTTCCAACCTCCACTCCGGTGTCCACTTTAGCCCACAACTGCTCCTGCGGCATTCCCAGTTTGAGAAAACAGCAGCTCCAACTCCTTCTGGAGCTCAAGCCAGCAGCCCGGGCGCCAATCCATAACTAACTCTCTCACGCCCCACTGCCAGTCCCCCAGCAACTCCTTCCTGCTCATTCTTCCTTCAGACTACGCCTGAACTCCAGCCACCACAGCCCACCGCAATCAGCTGCGCGAGCTGCTCTCGGCTCTCGCCTGGGTAATTTTCTGCTGCTCTCTCTCCACATACATTCTCTGTATGGCAGGCTCTTTTCTTTTTCTTTTTAGAGAAAAGAGAAGGGAGGGAGACAGAGAGGGAGAAAAACGTTGATGTGAGAGAGAAACATTAATCAGCTGCCTTTTGGACTCATCCCACCCAGGGACCCAACCAGCAACCCAGGCAGGTGCCCTGACCAGGAATTGAACAAATGACCTTTCGCCTTGCAGACGACGCCCAACTAAACCACACCAATCAGTGCTCTTTTCTTTTTTAAAATCTAAATGAGAGTATGAAACACCTCTGTTCACATTCCGCAATGCATCAAAAAGATTGAAAACAGCCGATGTTGGCCAGGATGTGGACACTGGAAATTCCTGGACATTTCCCGTGGGATTCTAATACTGGCTCAAGCACTCTGGTGGGTTGATGGGCAGTTTCTTACAAAGTTAAGCACAGTCTGCCCTATGACCCTGCAATTCCACCACTCTAGGTATTCATATACCCAAGAAAATAAAAACATATCCACAAAAAGACACGGACAAGACTGTTCATAGCAGCCATACTCACAATAGCCAAAAATGGGAAATAACCCAACTATCCAGCAACATAAAAATGGGTGAACAAACTGTGGCATACTCACACACCTGAACACTACTCAATAAAAGAATGTAATGACGTGCCAGGGGGAAACTCAGAAAATTCACACTGACTAAGACATCAAAACCCAAACTGACATACTAGATGATCCAATTTATATGCAAGTCCAAGAACAGAAGAACCAATGTGGTGGCGGAACCAGAAAGCAGTTGGTTCTCTGGCAGTGTCTACTGACTGACATGTGACATTCTACTCCCCCTCACCAAAGCACGGCCTGGGACTACGAAGCCCGGGCTGGGGTTCAGACGAGCCCAAACTGCCAGCCAGGGCTGATCTTCATTGAGAAGCCTTGAGGGGAGGCAGCCCGAACAGGGCCAGGCCTGGTGTGACCAAAAAGCCCTTCGAAACAGAAGGAACTGGAGTTTCCCCTTGTGTTTCCAGACCACCACGGCCACTCATATTTTAGGACAGGGAGTAAGGAGGAAATGCCTAAGCAGCCTTTATTTTTTTCCCCCACAACCCTTTTGATCTTTTTAAGAGAGAAAGAAACATCAACTTGTTGTTCCCTTGTCGATGCATTCATTGCTTAATTCTTGCATGTGCCCTGCCTGGGGATCAAACCCACAACCTTGGCGTATCAGCACAATGCTCCAACCAACTGACCTGGCCAGGGCTCCAAGCAGTCCTCCTTTCTTTTTCTTTTTTTTTTTAAGAGTTTACTTATTTAATTTTATTTTAGAGAGAGGGGAAGGTAGGAAGAAAGAGAAGGAGAAAGAAGAGAGAAACTTGGATGGGTTGCCTGTCACACACTCCCAACTGAGGACCTAGCCTGCAGCCAAGGCATGTGCCCTAACCAGGAACTGAACAAGCGACCTTTCACTCTGAGGGACAAAGCCCAACCAACTGAGCCAGGCCAGTCAGGGCCCAAGCAGTCTTTCCTAAGCTGCATTTGAGAGTGCCTGGCTGAAAGTGTCCTGACTTCTAGGAGTCAAGTATCCATGGGGAGGGGGCAGTCAAAATCATTCAGGGCTTTTCAAATTCTATCAGTACGTGCACGGTTATTTCCACCATCCCCCTCCCCAATAAATTTGAGTCTTTGCTATAATGAGCTATTCACATCTCCGAGATGGAGAAAAGATTGCAATGGATACAGTCAGAGAAAAGTCTGAGTCCATCTCCAATGCATTATTTTCTTTTTGTTTTATTTCTAACAGCTTTACTGAGGCATAACTAACGTACCATACAATTTACCCATTTAAAGAATGCAATTCAATGATTTTTAGTATATTCACAGAGTTGGGCACATTTTCATTACCCAAAAGGGACCGCCCCACAATCCCTCCATCACTCCCAAACTCCCATCCCTAGGCAAGGACTATTTACTTTGTCTCTCTGGATTTGCCTGTTCTGGTCAATTCATATAAATGCAGTGATACAATATATGGTATATTTGTGTGTGTGTTTTTCAGTTAGCATACGGTTTTCAAGGTTCATCCACACTGTAGCATTCCTGTACAAGGCTGAAAAACATTCCCTTGTATGAACGATGCATTATTTTCGTGCATGCTCTATAATGTAAGATAATGACTCTGCTGCTCAACATGTCAATCTATATAATTATGTTTAAATGAAAACAATTGCTTCTTTAAGGTCTTATAATACTTCTAACTTTAAAGCAAAGTGAAATAGCTTTAAAAGCAAAATCTGAACTAAAATTGATCTACATGCCCAAACTGACAGGACACTGGTAAGCACAGCTGACTCTAATGAGTGAATCTGGAGCCATTAATTTCAGCTGATCAGTGGATCATCCTTACCCACATCCATCCACTCCGGGGGGAGCAACCGACACTTCTGTCTTTGTTTCAGGTTAATCGCCAGCCACAGAGGCACTTGCACTGGTAAGCCAGGGTTAAAGGGCCCCAGATCACCCTGCCAGAGAGGGGGAAAAAAACCCCGGTAAGACAAAACAGAGCTAAAGGCATTCCTGGACCTCGCAGCCGTCAAATAACAGAACTGACATCGTGTAAATAGCAGTCCAAACAAATACAAGCCCCGGTGGTCACAGAGGCGCAGGAGGCAGCCCAGTTCTGCCCTCGTGCGGTGGAGCTGGCGGCACCTGGCAGCCCACGGGAGCCCGGACTCCCGAGGCGCTGCGGGGAGGCCTCTGGAGAACACCCGGGAGGCGCGGCCTACCTACAGGAGTTCCCCCAGCCCCCGTCGCCGGCACCCAGCAGCGGGCACTCAACCTCGCCCTAACCCGGTGCACGCAGGCCCCCGCGGGCTGGGCACGCGAGTCCGCCCCTGGCTTCCCATCCGAGACGAGGGAACAGAGCAGGGAGAGTCGGCGTCCACAGAAGCCCCGGCAGCCTGGCCTCTCCCAGACGTCAGTTCCACCAGCCCGGGCCTGAGGCAAATGCCGGGCCCGCGCCTTTACCCCAATGAGGTAGATCTTGTCCAGACTGAAGTTCGGGATAATGGTCACCAGCTCCTTCTCGGCCAGGAACTCCACCTCGGCCGCATCCATGGAGGCGCAAGTAGCCTGCCCAGGACTCCTCGCGGAGTCCCAAACTTAGTCCGGGTTCAAACCCACGTAGTCCGCAGCTACAGCTTTCCCGCCACCGCGCGGAGTCCGCCCCCCAGCCGGAAAAGCCCTTGGCTGACCAATAGCAACGCGGCGCTCTCCGCGCGGCGGCCGGGAGGCGGGAAGCACAGCTGCTGTGAGCCCTCGGATTGGCGAGCTACGAAGAGGCGGAGGTCTTACCCCGCCCCCGCGGTGTCTGGGCTCCGGCCCCGCCCCCTCGTTGGAGAAGCTGGGGCCGTCGCATCGCGTAGGCCGGCCACGCCCTCTCCCGTGTCCTGGATCCACTCCCACCTGGAGCCTCCCGCCTTTCTGTATCTGGCACCACGCTTCCGTGTCCCTTCACCTGCCCTCGGTGTCTTACCCTCCAACACTCTGCGTCAACACCCCGCGTCAACACCCCTTACTCCTGGGGCCAGGAGTAACTGCATGTATTGGGTCACAGAATTACCTGATACAGCCCGACCCCATGAGAGTGAAGGAAGGCGTTTTTCCTTTCGCTTTACAATCTTCTGCCCTCTGTATACACATTGGTTAAAAATCTATGAAAACGTAGATTCCTGTACCCCACAGAACTGCTGGGGAAGGGCTCAGAATCTACATTGGCAAGCACCCCAGGTGAGGCTTATGAAGGAACAAGTTTACAGACTGCAGCAATTACGTGCTGATGTGCTCATCTGTCGGCTGAACAGCTATACCGGGCCCTTGTGTGAAACCTGTCAGCAGCGGTCCCCAGTCTCCCTGCTGTGTCCGAATCCCCTTGAAGTTTCTGAGTAAATATGCACCCTCCTGGAGAATTGTGCCCCAGGGGTCTGGGATGGAAATAGAAATCGGAATTTTAACCAGGGCCAGGGGATTCTGATGGGAGGCTAATAGGCCAGGCAAGCTTCCAGGGAGGTAAGGCAGCCAATGCAGGACTGGGGGGCGGGGGTTGGGGACAGGCAGTGGGCTGGACTTGAATTTGAAACCCTGTTCATTATGCCCTGAGAAAAAGCGTAGAAGACAGGAGGATTCCTGGGTCCTGTATCCCAGCAGGAAAGCTACCCACCCCAGATAACTCCATGCTTTACCCTCTAAACCCCCCAAACCTGCCCGTTTAAGGTTGCTGGGAAGATGAAATAAGACTATTGTTAAGGTTCACTGCCAGGGCGTGGAAAGCATGTCTGTTGTCTATCTGCATGGGACATGTCATTTGCAGACCTGCAGACCTTCCCTGTGTGTCCTTTATTAAGACAAATCCTTTCACAGAAAGTAAATAAAAGTCCCTCTGGATACCATGTGACCTAGGGCAAGTGACCACTCTGGACCTCACCTGTAAAAGAGGTAGGAAGAGGGGCCCGGGGTGTTTGGGGAGGAGGGGAAGCTCTGGGCCACCCGGCCCCTCCTGAAATAGCAGCTCCCTCAGGCATCTGCAGAGAGTGTGTGCCAACTCGTCTGCCTTTTGATTGATGGGAGACTGTTTTCTTCACTGGCAAATATTTGTGTTCCCAAGTTGGCGAGGCTTTCCTCCCGGCTTTTTGCAGCCTGCGAAAGAGCAAAGGAAAAGAGCTGGAGGGAATGCCGAAGTTCAGCGAGGCCACAGCAGGGTGAGTGGGAGAGCGAGGGGAGCCCTGTACCCACATCACCTGAGTCCTGGTGTCCTCGTGTGTAAAACAGGGGCAGTCAAATGCTACTGCTGACCTCACTGGGGTGTTGGGAGAACACGAGATAGTGTGAGCTTCACGTACTGCGAAATGGTGGTGGCCTCGGAGTCTCAAACTTGAGTGTACATCAGGGTCACTTGGAGGACTTATTAAATGGCTTTCCCATCATAGCAGCATGATTCACAACATGCAAAAGGTGGAAATGACCCAAATGTTCATCAGCTGAGGGATGGATAAACGGAATGTGGTCTGTACATACCACGGAATATTATCTGGCCACTAACAGGAATGAAGCACTGATACCTGCCACAATGTGGGTGAACCTTGAAAACATTATGCCAAGTGAAAGAAGCCAGCCACCACAACCATGTGTGATTCCATTTGTATGAACCATCCAGAAGAGGGAAATCTGCAGAAACAGAAAGGGGATTAATGGTTGTCAAGGCCGAGGGAGAGAGAGATGGGGGGTGACTATTAATGGGTATGGCGTTTCTTTTTAGTGTGGGTGGTGGAAATGTTCTGAAATTAGATAGTGGTGGTTGTTGTCTACTCTGTAAATATTCCAAAAATCACTGAATTGTATACTTTAATAGGGTGACTTATTTCTCAATAAAGCTGTTAGTTAACATTCCCTTCCCTGAGCTCCAGGCTCAGAAACCACACACTTAACACGCTCCCCAGGAGGTTTCCATAGCGGGGGAAGTGAGGAGGGAAATGATTTGCCCCAATCCAGTCCAGCTCTGAGCCATTCCCAGAATCCGGAGAAAACTTCCAAATGCTCAGCCTCATGCCTGGCCTCTCCAAGTGGGAAGGATGAGACAGTAGACAGACAGAGGGAAACTGTAGTGGGGGGACGATAGAGGCGGGGGTGCTACTTGAGAGATGGGGTGGGCAGGCCCTCCCACCATTATTTCCTGTTGTGAGAAATGCCTCCCCCAGCAGGCCAGAATGCCCCCTGTGGTAACATATTAAGAGCTAGAGATAAAATTAATGCGGGTGAAGGGACAAACCCCCCATGCCAGAGAATTCCAAAGGATGTACATAGATGCCTAGGCTTCAAGAAGGCGGAGCGTGACGCCCTATTCCTGAAGTGCGGGCTGCCCAGCATGACTTTCTTCTGAAGAGACCAGGAGGGCAACAGGGAGAACAGAGTCACCTGACAGTGGAGAAACCAGGCCAGCACGACCTCAGCCAGGTAGGCGGACAGGGTCAGCACCGGCAGGGGTGAGCCAAGGTGACAGCATGCCCCCTTGAGAGCATGGATGAGAAGGGCACTTCATCTCCCAAACCTACAGCCCCAGTCTTATTGTGAGAAAAGCATCAGGCAGATTCCAACAGAGAGACGTTCTCCCAAACACTCGGCCGGCCCTCCTCAAGGCTGTCAAGGTCATCAAAACAAGGAGACTCAAAAAAGCTGCCACGGCCCAGAGAAGCCCAAGAATTCATGATGACAATGTCATGTGGGATCCTGGATGGGCTGGCTCCCAGACCAGGGAAAAAAAAATAAAAAAGGACATTAGGGGAAAACTGAGGAAATGTGAATAAAGTATGGACTTTAACTGATAATAATGCATCAGAATTGGTTCCCTAATTGTGTGACAAATGTACCAGAATAACAGAAGATTAAAGACAAGGGAACCTGGGTGGGCAGTATGTGGGAACCCTCTGTACCACCTTTGCAACTTTTTTGTAACTCTAAAGCAGTCCTTACTAAGAAAAAGAATTTGAGAAAGCCTCCCCAGGTTCCTTGGGGACACCTCAAATACCCCTGAAGCTGTGAACCTATTGCGACCTTTGGGCAGCAACTTTTGGTTACATAGAACTTAGGCCGGCAAAACCATGCTCCAAAATGAGCCAGCAACGGGGACTCCTGCACTGAAGGCAGTGGATCTTTCCGTAATGATGCAAACGTTCCGTACATTTCCAGCCAGTATGGTGGCCACATGTGGAAATTGAGCATTTGCAGTATGAGTGACTGATGGCGGACCAGGGCCCTCTGAAGGGTCATTCACTCCTGGGTCTGACGTTGGCCAGCAGCCCACTGATGCATCCCCACGGGTGATCTTGGATTGAGCACATTTGAGAAGGACCTGTGGTCCACCTGTGCGTAGTGTGTTCATTCTATCCTAGGTTAGAATCTCGGCTCTGTGGGAGTGATTTTCTTACAGTAAGGAGACCAGTGGTCCAGGAGAATGATTACAGTGAAGAGTTGAGGAGGTGGGTGAGAAGCCCCACAGACTCTCAGCCCTGCCTGTGCAAGAGACTCACCTACCCGATGCTGGAGCCACACCTGGGCCGGAGGAGTCAGAAGCGCTGGCGTGGGGCTCAGGCCTGGGCCGGGGCTGAGAGCTCTGCTCTGACACCTGGGTGCAGCCTCTCTCCCGGGGTCTCTGGGGGAGTTTAGGGAAAGCACTTGCAGCTAGTGGTGTCTCCCATCTCAGAAGGGGGCTCAGTTACGGTGATGCAGATGAGAGATGCGGAATGCGAAACACCGTACTTCCCTGCTTTGCCTCAGCTGGAACCCACCCGCCGTGGGGCTCAGAGCTGGGCCCTGATAACAGGACACAGTTGCTTCCCTAACTAGACCCCTGCCCCCAACTAGGCTCTAGGAGGCTGAGAGCCAGAGTTCTTACTGTGACTTGAGCCCCTGCCCGCACCTCGTCTGGAATGTGGAGGTGATAACAGGACCTCCTGTGGGACTGACCTTGGTGGCTCTGATTGGTTTGGGCTACCATGCTGCTGCTGTGCCTGTTCTGAACACCGTCCTCCCCTAGAGCCACCGAGGCGCTCAGCCGTGTCCAACCCGGCAGACCGTGGTTGCCGCTCTCAGCAGGAGCGGCTCCTTTTCCTCGCGGCAGTCCCACGGGGCATCATCATCCGCTGACTGTGGCGAGATGTGAAGCGAGGAAGACATGCAGTGGCCAGCTCTCCGGGGCCTGCTTTGCAAGCTGCCTCTGAGAATGTGGACATGGCCCCGAGGGCAAAGGGAGGCCACCTGAGGGATGCGGGTAGAGGGTGACGCACGGATCGTACTGCAGAAGTACAACTCTGGCGGATGCAGTCGGGTGGGGGCGGTCTGGCAGCAGGAGACTCACCTGGTGGTTGTGGGCAGAAGTCCAGGTGCATGGTGACAATGGCCTGAAGTAGGACAGCAGGCATGGGGACCACAAGGACGGGCTATCTGAAACCAGAGCCCGTGGACTGCTTTCCTGCGTCCAGAAAAGCCAGGTGCAGGGATGCTGCTGGACCCCACCCAGGCAGCCACAAGTATTCCTCCCTCTACCTGTGGCCCCACACAGGCTCACAGCATGCCCTGCCCCTCCCTGGAGGTCCCACGGCTTCCCCCCCACAGCTCGCTGGCCTCCAGGGTTTGGCAGGGGAGCCGTCA